ACCGCAACCGCTGCGTTTAAACCAGTCAAGCCCTTAGTTTCCCAACTGGAATTTGGTTATTGATTTCTTTAGAAAAAGTTCCATACTTATTTTTTCTGGCATAATAATTACGTTGGACTAAAAAAACTCAAATGGAATTCAATGTTCTTTTCAATTATTTGGACGCTGGTTTTTGGCCTTCAAAACTTGGACTAGTCCGACTCTTTTGACCATGAATTAGTATTCATATTTCCTGCCAAATAAATCAAATGAAAAATCCAAATATCTAGCTATCTTTATACATTAACACAATATATGTGACAAATAAAAATCCACATCTCTTTAGCTGCTTATTTATTCGTTACAAGCCAGACTACTCACTTGATAGAGCCTACTCACTTGACAGAACCTGTTCCTAGCCACCACAAGGTCACTCACATCAAGAAAGAGATCTTTAAGCCTAACTTCTTTGTCTTCACATTGTTTTTTTTTTTTTTTACCCTTTTCCATATTTTACATGCATATATACCACAAATGATTCTAGTTGAAAAAGTGCTAATAAAATGAAATGTCGACGGTAGTCTCTCATGATCTATTGCTATTAAAGTGGTTCGTTAATCTTGATTTTCCATAGTACAATGCATATATCAAAATGGTTCGCTAATATACAACACTAAATAGTTGCTAATGGGAAGTAGAAACAATTAATTAGGTGTAAACTTTGAGATGTTTAGCCTAGTAGTCAAATTAACAACCATCTATTTCGTTCAGTGTGTAATGTTGTCGCTAAATTAGTTATTTCCTCAGCTGGACGTCAATAACACATTCTTACGCAATGACCTTTAACACGTTGTGTACATGCATTAGCCTATATGCATATGATTCACTCACAAGACCAAACTAAATAATATATCTTTAATGTCGAGACCAAACAAGCATCTCGAACATAGTACATAAGGTCTACAGTTCACGCAAAACACTTTGGTTTCGTTCAAAGTAGATGTGATCCCTCTCATTCCTTATAAGTTTCAGGGAAAATTTATTGTCTATCTTCTACTTCTCATAGATGACATTACTCTCAAAACCTCGACTCAAATATTACTTGAAGACGATCATCTCTAGCATTAATTATTGTACTTCTTTCCAGCAATGCAACTATGTTGTAAACGTTTGCATCACGCATAAATGGCCGACTCTAACCCTTGTCTCATGCTAGTTGACTCAAAGAAAAGTTTGGACGACAATTCCTGTCTCTAACCCATTTTACATGTCTTCCATAGATAAAGTGGTCTTTCTTCGACCACCGAATTTGTGGTACTTGGATGCATATTTGATAAGATGCATCGAAATGGCGTTCAAATTTAAATTTTGTGTGTCAACTACCGACAAAGTGCATCCACAATCTTGGACTTCAAAGCAACAAATTTAAATTAATACACATGTGGATGGAATTTTTTTTTTTAACTGTACTGGATTGCATTCATTTTAGTATATGTTCGATCCACCGTACGTAGTAAGTTTTGAAATATTAGGTCCTCACATATTTTTATAGAAGATAGATAATAGTGCAACTGAATAATATAATTATAGAGAAAAACTATATTTTCATTAATAATTAAACCTTAATCGTTCTTAAACCTTCTAAAATTTACGCATCAAAAAGAAATAAAAAATTTACGCGTTATTTTTTTTTTTATATAACTTTCTCTTTGCCTGCTCATATTACATAGAAGATGCTTTAATTTTCTTAACACAAATTACGTCGTTTTATATTACATCGAACAATATTAACATGTAGCAAAAATTCACGAATAAAGTTTTTGGAACACCAATACGACAACAATACAAGTAAACCAGTCAACTTTATTCATTAATCATCTATCCGTCAACTTTGGTCAAACTTATTAGTCAAAGGTTTTAAAATTCACACATTTAATCAATCGATCTGTACAGTTTGATTAGTATTTCTACTATTTGATCATTTGTCGGTTTAATGGTTTTTTTGCCATTATAATTTAACCATTTCGCAAAATAGTACAGTATATTTCTTCCTATGAGATGTGAAAATTACATTTCTATATTACAACCAACGTATATGTTACATCAATGTACAAACAAATCAATAACATGAAAAACAAAAAAACTCGAATTAGATTCTTAGTAGTATAATGTATGAGTATGCCAATCATACACCTAACTCTTCACATGTTCCAGAAATTAGGTCAGGACCATGGTTATAAGATAAGAGCACACTTTCATTTTCTTCGATCACGGCTACCGGAAAAAACAGGGCCTAGGCAAAATATATCAGCCAATGGGACATTCAACGCCGGACTATTCATTGATCTTGGAGCTCTAATCTCTGTAGAATTCATCTTCTGCAAACTCTTGTTCTTCTTCTTTTTATGTGGATCACTATTGCTCCGTTGATATTCCGTAGAAGAATTTGTTTTCTTGTTTCTCATTGAGTACCCAACAGATTTGCTTCTAACAAGCCAAAAACCACAACCAAAACTTGGATCATCTGAGTCAGAATCTCTTGTGTCGGATTTCGCAGCTAGGGTTTGAAGATTGCTTCTCGGAGAAGTCATCTCGGTCTTCTTCGAAATTGTGTCGGTGGCCGTGTGAGAGAGGTTTCTCCAGTCCGAGAAGAGCTCGTCGGCGTGAGAAAACCGTTGTTTTGAGTTTTGACGGAGACAAAAGTCGAACTCTGGACTTGAATTCAGACATGACTGGTCTGAATCTGATCGGAGAGGGACTCTTTCTTCCGAATGATGAAGATTGTGAGAAGATGTTGAGGTTACTCTGCTTTTAAGACTCATCGTGAAGATTATTAAATAAAAGCTACAAAATAGTATTTTTTTCACGAATGTCTTAATAAACAAATTGTGAGGTGTATAAATAAGAGCAACAAGGTAGATAGATATATATACGACTATACGAAGAATGTCTAGACAACAATTCACCTACCATTATTGACTATATGCAAAAAGTTATTTTTTGTTTTTCTTACTTTTTTACATTCTTTTAGAATTTTTTTTCTTAATTTATTACTCTCTCTATTTTACAAAAAGTGTCATTCTAAATTTTTTTTTTTTTGTTTCACAAAGAATATCATTCTATATTTTCAATGTTTTACACAAAATTTCCTGATTTACCCTTAACTTAAAACTATTTCTTATTGAATTTAAATCACTAATCACTTATTAAATAGTGGCATACGTGTATAATTCAATGTTTTTTTAATTTGTATAAAATATGTTAAAATGACACTCTTTGTGAAACATAAAGAGTATTAAAAAATATCGGCTACATGAATTTTTTTTTTTCTCATAGATGAATTTTCTGCTATTGGATCAAACGTTATAATATATCCTGGTTTACAAGTTTATGTTTTTTGGCTTTCTTCAAACACAATTTTATGTTTTTACATGAGATTTACATATGCAAAACCGAAAAAAAGTAGAAAAGTAAAATCTAACTTGGAATTTAAGTTATTTTTGCTTTATTGGGTGTAGGAAAGACTTTGACTTCAGCACTGATATTTGGTAGACTTTGAAGCATTGATTTTTTGGTCGACTTTGAAAAAAGTTGTAGGGAAGGGAGAAGACTCCACATCTCAGTTTGTTGAACAGAGAATTATTCATCTAATTTAATTTACAAATTATGAACATGTCACTAGTATTTATAATAATCATTCTTTCTCAGTACTAATAATTGTATTAATAACTGAGAATAATTCTGCACTACTTTGTTTTGCTTTTTTTGTCAACTATCAGCCTTGGAGGAGCAATGAAGCATCCTATGACTTCTTCGCCAAATTAGATCCAATCTGTTGCAAATGCCATTGTTGTCTTCAGTTAGTTGATCATACAATGCATGGCCTAGATGAGTGATTATAATTTAATGTGTAGTGAACAGATATTCTTTTTAAATTAAGTTTGAACTCCTATATACATGATGAACCCTACTACATCATTTTGAAACCTAAATCTGCGAGTAAATATGTGTCTTTCCACCGTCAATATATATAACATCAATATCCCTTAAAACCTGTATTACCGGTCCAAGCTATCATGAGATATCCAATATTGAATCCTCCTATGTATTTAGTATAGAAAATTTTATATATAAAAAATTTTAGGTATCTAGTGAAAAATCTATTACACATTAGTCGAACCAGTTACTAAAATCTTAGAATAGAATACGAACACCAAATATATAACATGTGTATGTTCTCAGTCCTACCAATTTATATCATTTTCATTTTCAAGGAGAATTGGTCTTGCCAAATTCAAGAAATCAAAATTCTAACTATACTTTTCGTTCCGCTATTCACCAAACCCATGAAGTTGATTTTCTTTAGCATAAAAGTCTAAAGTTATATCGTAGTTAGTGACGAAAAAAAAAAATATCGTAGTTAGTGACGAAAAAAAAAAATATCGTAGTTAGTATGTTACAATACTTTGGACGTAGCTTAAAATATCAATGTACCATAAAAAACACTAAGAGATAATTTTGTTAACGAAACACATGATAACTTTTAAAAAGGGTTTATATCAAATTCTCTGTCATTCGACAATAATTTTCCTGCATGATCCAGTAAATAATTTCAATAAACTCATTCGAATTTCATTTTTTTACATATCAATATACCACTAACAAATACTAAGAAAAAAATAAATTTTGTTAACGAAACACATGGTAACCTTTAAAAGAGGTTTATACCAGACTCCAAAAAATTAATTAATTACAACTCCGTGTTGGAATATAAGATCCCTCCCAACCAAATATCAAATTACCGGTCGAGACCCATATATCTTCTAACTCCCAACAAAAGGTCTCACAACCACTAGTATAATTTTAGTTAGTATAGCCAACACATATTACTTCGTACTTATAACACAATTATTTAGGTAATGATTAAAAATCACTAAAAGAACAATGGTTTATTATAAATATCAATAATAATATGAATTATTGTTACATAAAAAAAATCTAAGGATCGAAAAAAATTGTGATTAAAAAATGCCTATTAATTTGCATGTAATTTTAAGTACGACACGATAGTAGAAACGCATAGGAAATAAAATTCCAAAACAATCTTCGGGAAGACCGAGTAGAATAATGCAACATTCTTTTTTTATATCTTTCAATTTGCCTTGTTTCAGTGCTTCTACACAATCTGGAATTTTTCTTGCGTCTGATACACAAGACATTGGATTTGGCAGCAACCCTTTCTCTGACATTGGAGTCATTGCAAAATCATTATTACCTTTCGTATCTTCAGAAAGTGATAGCATCACAACCATCACTGTTAAGATAGACGCACACACTCTTTGTATGTTCTCACCCATTGTTAAATGTTTGTACAACTTGTATTTTATCTTGTGATCGCTACTATGACATTGTTTATAGTATTTATATATCTAGTATGGTTATGAAACTTTTTGCTAGACACGATATATTGCCTTTTTTATAGATTGTGTACATGCATGTATTAGTTGTCCTCGAATGTCTAACGTTCCTGAGAAAAAGAATGCAATGTATTTAATCAGAAAAAGAAGAATACAATGTAATTCATCAACTTTTTTTTTGGGTCAAAAGTATTTCGTTAACCATTTATGACAAGTTTATATATATTAAAGGAAACTATATATTCGATTAAGATTTTTGTAGAAAGAATATTTTCCTTTTCCTTCTTAAATTCATAATAATTAAAGATAAACTGTTTTTATTTATAATAAATATCTTAAAACTTTTTTGCTGTTTGCAATAGAAAATAAAATACTGTATATTATGTACTATTTTCAATGATAAAATAAAACATAAAATTCAAAAAACTTATAACAAAATCATATAGAAAAAAAGAAAAACTCTAGATGCAATAAAATGAAACTTTAGAAAAAGATTATATAAAACAGTCTTTTTAGTATTAAAAAGTTAGAGAAATTGTCACTTGATGCATTATTATTTTTTTATCTGATTAACTTAGTAGCTCCTGGCTTAAACTCCAAGTCTCCCTGAAAGCATCACTATCTTTTATACTTGAATATTACTAGTACCAACCTACCACCATAAGTGAACAATATTCTAGAAAAAGTTTCCATGGTGGTAGGCTAGTGAAATTTACACGGCGGCAGTATAAATACTCTAGAAAAAAAGTTAGTTTTCTAAATATATAGAGTACTTGTTTTTTTTTCTTCAAGAACAAGTATTAGCCATTTATGGTGGGTTACTAATTTTTCGAATTTTTTGTGTGGAAATTACGACGATTTAGCAACCGTTGACGGTTACCTATTTGTGTCAAGCAAGTAACGGCGAATTTGTAATTGTCGCTAATCTAACACAACTTCTTGTTTGCAACAATTTCAGCGGTTGCTATAATCGTGTTTTATTATTGGTTCATGTTAGACTGGGAGAATATTCATGTTCATCTGAGTACAATTCAACTGTAGTTAATAGATTACGAATTTAAGTTTAAACAGATGATACATAGTTAATTTTTTCAAGATAAAGTTAGGCAGCATAACCATAAAACGTCTAACCTAACTTAAATTGGTCCTAATATATATTACTTGGTTTCTTTATTTATTTTATTTAAACATATTTTATTGAAAAACTAATCCAAAATATAAGTATATTTAAAATGATAAAATTCGAAGATATATTTAGAATGCAAAATTCTCTTTTTTTAGAGATATATGACTGATTTAAGTAAAATATGTCTCATTATATATATGAAAAGAGAATTTTGCATTTTCCAACAAGTCAAAATAAAGTGCAAGATTTGACGTTGAAATCCGAAGTACGTGGATATGAAGATTAATTCCAAATATGAGATTTGTTCTTTACAAAACAATTTTACATGCGCCAAGACATGGTTAAAGAAATCTCATGACAAACATCTTTCCAAAATTTATCGACGTTCACTTTAACAAGAATATTATTCAGATTATAAAACATAAAGAGAGTGATGTCGAGTGAATCATAGAAAAACAACAAAAGAAATTGTAGTGAAAAGTGTTTTGAAATTATTTACTAAAATTTTGAAAGCTAATGCATATTAAAAAACTAAAATATTTTAAAATTCAAATGATTATATTTATAAACAAAGGCCGTATAGATGAAAGTTTAAAATTAAAATCATGCGCAACGCGGATGATACATAATCCACTTGTAAATAAAATTGTGAAATTCAAATTTTAAATAGTGAGACGCTATAAAAGCATTAAAAATACAATAAGAGATCATACTAGCTTAAAAAAAAAAATTCAATAATTGAATTATTCTTTCCATTTGTTTTGGAAAAAATTAGATTGTAGCTTTTCCTAATTTTTGATTGCTAAGTTAATTGTTATCTTATACATTTAAAAATGTAAAAATAATTGTTACTCATTTAATATATTTCAATTGCTTACTTCAAATATTTTGATTGTTTTTTTTTTTTTGTTTTTAAGAAAATATTAAAAACAAATAAGGAATGATATATAAACCCAGGCTGGAGTTTGTTCTAAATATGTTTAGAGGTATTCTTCTGTTTAAATCTAAAAATAAAATGGAAAATGATAATGAAATCTCATAAAATCATGCATAAAAGATAGTATAGGATATTTAGAAATTAATTTTGAAATGATATTAGATTTGATGGAGTGATGTATGCATTTTATTGGTTTAGTATCTAATTTTCTATTTACATTACATCTCTTTTAGAAGAAACTAAGATTTTGTAACCCATGATAAATAAGTATTCATGGAGGAGAAATTAATGTCCTTATCTTCAAACTCTTTTCTTCTTAGCTTGTTTTTATATAATGGACTAAATGCCCTAATATTATCATACAATCAATTCTCTTAAAGACAGACGTTAAGAAGAAACATAAAAAACGTGAAAGTATGAAGAGGATACCTTCACTTGTATTCTTTGCTAGCTTACTTATCATTTTTGTCACAGGTACCTTGTATATCTTTCAATTGTTATGTCTCTTTATTTTATTCGATTTTTAATCAAATTTTGCTATTACCAGTTTATGGACAATTGACCAAAGCACCTCTGCTTGATAAATATTTCTAGTACAACGTAGATAAAATAACATATTTCAAATGGCAATGGTTGAAAAGAAAAAAAAAACAATAGTATGATTTTTGATAATTAAAACAATAGTATGATGGTAATATGAATTTGTTTTTTCATAGAAAATGATTGGTTCTTATATTGATAGTATTTTTTTTCATAGAAAATGATTTGTATCATAGAGTTTTTTTTTTTTTTTTAAGTCTTCTCATTGTTAGTATTTACTTGTATACCTTATTTCCATAGAGTGTGTAAGTAAGTACTCTTATTTCTATATGAAGTTTAATAAGGTATACAATGCTCTAGTTGTGAATCAGACAAGAGCAATTTCATGCGATGAAAGCTTAGGCCTTTGCAAAAAATGTGACGAAAGATGCAAGGCCAAACACGGACCATCATGCATAAGCAAATGTGATGGAGAGGTTGGGATGTTGTCGTGCACATGCACTTACGAGTGTGGACCAACTTTACCCCCCAAAAGAAACGTTTGCAGCGGTGGGACTGGTATGTGCAGTGGGAATTGTCCTGATAAATGTTGTGATACCAACTGCGCACAAAAGTATAATGGTGGACGTGGATTTTGTAACTCCCTTGGTAATTATAATTTGTGCCAATGCGAATACCCTTGCTAAAACAGGGTAACAAAATTTGTAAACCAGTTAATTGGCTTTCTTTTGTTATTATAAGTTCAGTGATGATATCGCTATATATGATTTAATATCAAGACATAGAAGGTTCTTTAATAACGTTCTAGAAGGTATTCTTGTTTTTAAATTCCACTGATTTTCTTAATCATAGATATATATTTTAACCCTCTCAAATGACATTTTTACTGAAACAAGAAGAGTAGTAAACATCAAAAGCTCCGTAAAAATTAACAGAAACATTAAGTAAGCTCTTTACCGAATGCACGTTTAATCACACCTTAGGTTAGGTATTGACGAGTTTGATGACTCTATACATAACATGATAAGATCGACGATAAAAGTATGTTCAATGTTAATGCCTTGTTTCTTCATTTTCCTTTAGAGCACCAAATATCTAGACACACCATGTAAGACAAAGACTTTCGACAATAACAGAAAAAAAAAAAAATCTAAAGAAGATGGGAAAAATATGTTAATGAAAAATCTAACGACTTGACTTGTCGAACTTTCTAATTGTCTTCAATAATTAATTTATCATTATTTGTGTAACAACAATGCAACCAAATTTCTTGGTATTGTCAACGAAGCTAGGTTATATTTGCATTTCATGTGGAAGTTCTGATCTAACTCGAGCAATTGGGATTATTAATAAAGAAAAAGATTTATTTAGAGTTTTATAAACAATTCTTCATGTATTAATTAAGAGAAATGATACATCATCGTATACTTATTCTGAAATACAAAAGTTAAGGAAACAGAGAAGAGAATAAAACACTACTAATTCACTGAACTCCACAAAAAGTCATTCTTACCAATAAAAAAACATTGATCTTATCTTGTTCTTCTTTCTTCCACCATCAAAATTTATCGAACCTAAACCAAACAAATCCCCCGAAGGAACCATATCAAGAAATGAGCTCACCCTAATCACACCTCCATTTCCCTTGTAGTTGTAACCTCCATGGTTCTTCTTCAATATCGGTTTCGGAACACTACCGTTTAAAGAAGAAGAATAGGAAGAACAAGAAGAAGACGAAACCTGACTCTTCATAGAATTCGAACCGGTCGAGTTATAAGGAAGTAATGGCAACTTTACCTCATCTTCTTGGTCTCCAATTTCTTCTATTTCAAAAACCGGTTCAACAACATCGATTGGACTTATCTCCGGTTTGGGTAAACCGGTTTTATATTTCTCGCTTTTACAACGATATATAGGCTCCGGGATCTTTTTCATTTCTATAGGGAGGATTTTGCCGTCGTTGAAGAACTCTTCGGCGGACCACGAGCTCTCGCCGGAGATTGCATCGCGGGCAATTGAAAACTCCAAAGGAAAGCCCCAATAAAAGTTGGAGATATCAAACGGAGATTGTAATGGACGTTGCTCAATGGGTATGGAATCGTGGTGGGAAAAATCGTTAGAAAATGAGATTCTTGGACTATCACTAGCATTTTCCGGCATTGTTATTAATTATCTCAAGAAATTTTTAGAGAGGATTGAAAAAAATGGTGATGGTAAAAGTCCTTTTTATATGTGAAGATTATGTATATAGGAGAAATAAATGAAGGAGTGGTTATTTTCAAATGTTTGGTAAAGTTTGGTTTATATTTGATTTTCTGAATTCCTATGTGAGGTACAAAGGTTTTGATCTTTGTCGTGTCCTGTCTTAGTAAATGGGCCTAACTTCCCTTGGGTTAATTTTTTAGTTGCTCACATGACTTAGTTTTGAAATGGGATTTGGGTCTAATATCAGATTATTGATGGACAAAACTTTGAAACAACATATTTCGAAAAATTTTGGTAGACAAGAAATGTTATCCACATTTGAAACAACAGATTGGTGATATTTGGTGGACAACAAATATTGTTCACATTTGAAACAACAGACTTCAAAGAAATTTGGTGGATAAGAATTTGAAACGGCATACTTCAAAAATTTTGATAGACAAGAAATGGTGTCCATATTTGAAACAACCGATTGAGAAGACATTTGGAGGAAAACAAATATTGTCCACATTTGAAACAACAGACTTCAAAGAAATTTGGTGGACAAGAATTCGAAACGACATACTTCGAAAATTTTGGTAGACAAGAAATGTTGTCCACATATATCTTCTTTCTTCTCAGATTCAGATTCGTTCCCACTTTCTAAACCAGATTCAGACCCAGATTTTTTATCTCGCTAAATCCGAAAACAATGGTGAATAATATTTATTTAAAATTGAATTGGGTCATACTTGAATAAGAAGAAGAAGATCAAAATTTGGGAAACTCTTATATATCTATGGAGATTGAGCTTCATTATTTAGAGGAAAAGAGAGAGAGAGACATGAGAGAGAAAGGAGAGGAATGGAGATTGAACAAAAACGTTTTTTTTCTAAAGGGCAAATTGGACTTTGCAAGTTGGGCTAGAAATTGGATTGTGGCACAATTGAAAAGAATTTATGGGTTGTGGCAATTTTGGTAAGAATTGTTACACTGTATGGCACATTAGTTAGATTTCTCTTTTGAAATCTCTTCATGTCAATCCATTTGCCAATAATCTAATCTTTTCTGTTTATCATTTTTTGTTTTGTTTTTTTTCAATGCTAAGTTGATTGTTGTCATGTATATTTTTAAAAGTTGAAAAATAAGTGTTACTCATTAAATATGTTCTAATGTCAACAACCTTTTATTTTCTCCTTTTTTTTGCATAAATATTAAAAGGAAAAGAATGATATGTAAACCCATACTAGAGTTATCTCTATTTAATAATATTATCTTTAAAGATATTTTTTCTTTAGAATTCAATAAGAAAATTGAATATAATAATGAGATCTTTCAGAAAATCTTATACTCCCTCCGTTTCAAAATGTAAGACGTTTTGATGTATTATTTTTGTTTCAAAATATAAGACGTTTTCATGTTTCCATGCAAATTATATATTAATTTAATATTTTCTGATTATTTATATTACGCAGTCTCATATATAATTGGTTGAACTTTTTAAAAGTGGATATTTTTTAATTTGCGTGCTTTTAAGTAAAACGTCTTATATTTTGAAACGGAGGGAGTAAATTTTATGGAGTGATGCTAAGCATTTTATTGGTTTTTTCATCAAATGCAAATGTTTCTGAATAATTTGAGAAGGTAATAAAAATGAGAACTGAAAAAAATTAACTTCTACAAGCATGGTTCTTAATTCTTATCGCTTGTCGGCATGGAGGCATGGTTTGTATCTCTTGCCGTCCGTAGCACGAATCACTGACAGTTGGTTTCGAATTTGTTTGTCTATCCAAATGATGAGTTGTGTGGCTGGAGTTGATGTCTCACCATGTCTCTTTCCATTGTTCTCTCTCCATCACCATATTTATTTTTCAATATCTTCGGTCTTGACCAACGGTGCGTTGGGCTAGTAGTTTAAGTGCAGGGGTTGGACCCATGTGTTCTCTAGTTCGATTTCCGGTGGGAGATAAGCTTTACGCCATGTTATAAGATATTAGCAAAGACTGGTCCTGGATCATGGGAGGGATTAAAGTCTAGGCCCAACTCCTCTTAGTTAACAAAAACAAAAAAAAAGATGTATAAGGTCTTCAGGGAAAAGAGGATTTTCATACCCGTACTGTATGCACCGTGGATTTTCATACATGAACAATTTTGTAGGGTATTTTACAACCTAAACTTCAATAAAATTTGAATCTCATATCTATACTTGATACAACGTACAAAAATCAGAGTCAATCTAACGGGTGTTAGTCAACTCTGTTACGGTGCTGAGTCATCGTACACATGTACGCTGACGTGTATCAAATTTTTTTTTTTGCAAAATTGGGGACTCGAACCCGCGAGCCATAGTCACATGGGAACTGGGAAGCATTGAAGACCAACTGGTCCCACAATGTTCATCAAGTATTCCTCAATCTTTTTAACTTATAAACCCAAAAAGTTCTGTGTTTGGAAATAATTAAAATGACGTCGTTTTAAATTGGGGTATTATTATTTTTTCTATAAGAATTTTACTTTTCTTCCTTGGGTAAGCATGAGGTTGGGGTAGTTCTTCAAGACTGATCGAACTTGATGGGCCAAGTAACTCCATTTCTGAAAATCAAAATATTAGTTGCTTGGCTATGTTTAAATTATGTAATTTACTATGACATACAATTTTCCCCTAATTTAAAACGATTTTGTTTTAATTATTTCGATTTTTGCACGTTGTATCAAGTATAGGTATGAGATTCAAAATTTATTGAAGTTTAGGTTGTAAAATACCCTACAAAATTATCTAGGTATGAAAATCCACGGTGCAGACAGTACGGGTATGAAAACAACGTCGTTTTGATACACGTCAGCGTCTGCGTGTACGATGACTCAGCACCGTAACGGAGTTGACTAACACCCGTTAGATTGACTCCGATTTTTGCACGTTGTATCAAGTATAGGTATGAGATTCAAATTTTATTGAAGTTTAGGTTGTAAAATACCCTACAAAATTGTCCAGGTATGAAAATCCACGTTGCAAATAGTACGGTATGAAAATCCCTTTTTCCAAGGTCTTCACCTAGACTTATAAAATAAGGGTGAATTGGTGTTATGGAAAGTTTCTTAAAAGATATTGGAAAACAAGACCATTCACTATTTATAATTTGGAAAATGGGTCACATTTGCTGTTATACTAATAGAGCTCTTTGTGTAATACAATAAGTGAAGATGACAAAATTGCCCTTATTTAGAGATAAGCGTTTCTCCATCGTTTGTACACCAGTGTGTCGTACACCATCATTTGTATACCACCATGTCGTACACCATTGCTTATACACTACTGCTTCGTATACCATCGCTTATACACTACTGCTTCGTACACCATCTCATATGTATCACATACACCATTTATTCTCGTACGCCATCTCACATTTTTTTTTTGTACACCAATTCTTGTAAATCACCTAGAATTATAAATCACACCAATTTTTGTACACCTAAATTTGTAAACAACACTAGTTCTTGTATACTACCATCTCTTACACATTTTTCTCATATATCAAAATTTTAATATATTGATTCTTGTACACATAAATTTGTAAACCACACTAATTTTTGTATACCTAAATTTATAAGTCTTTCTAATTCTTGTACACCATATGTTGGAGTACTTACACACCGAACAATATGTAAAATATAACAAAATGGGTTTCTATAGATTCACAAAAAAAATATTAAAGATGAAAATCATATTGTTATAATTTTTTGGACTGAAAATATGAGATGAAATCATGTTTTTAAAATTTGGGTAAAGGAAAAAAAGAAAGAAAAAAAAAAAGAAGAGAAAAGTTGAGTGTGTTTTCGAAAAAAAAATAAAAATTGAGATAGAAAAGGGATTAGTGGCATTCAGCCATAAATATGCAGTTGTGAAGAGAGCAAAATAAAGTTGAACAGAACACGATACAGTACAAATGATTGCATTGTCTAATTGTAAATAGTAAATGGACCTAAATCCAAATTAAGTTTAAAAAAACTGTCCATTTTGCCAATTTCCCCATAAAATAATACAAATCAGAGATCCAAAAACTTATAAAAATACTCTATATATTATACACCTACTTTATAAAAAAAAAAAAGGTTTTACACCTAATCGATACCCCTTAAGGAGACTGACCGCTATTAGCATTTGTCTTTACTTCGACAAGTTGTAATAAAAAAATTAAATGACTTTTTTATATATCTTTGTTTGACTTGTGGCTAAGTAATATGCGTCTTACCTTCGTATTTCATTGTCTAACTAAACGTCTGCAATTTTGGTCTAACATTGATCATCGCGCCATTTTCAGCGTTAAAATCCTTTTCTAAGAAAATATACATTATTAAAAATTATAAACTCTGCATCACTTTCGTTCCAAACTTCAGCATTCATTATTCTTTTTCCAAGAAAATTAACAGGATTGAACTTTTTTTCTTCCAAGAGATTAAATAGTATTATATATGTGAACCTCAAATTTTTTGGAATTATCAAAATCTCTTAACATCTTTAAGTTATTATTAATTTACCTCCATTATATACAAATAATTATTGAATATTTGAGTTTGGTTTGAGTCAGTTAATCTGTTATTAATTCCAAGTGGATATAATGTTCTTTGAAGTTTCCTTTGTGCCTATCAACATTTTCCAGATTCAACCAACGAAAAAGCCCTTTCAACATCTTTTTACAGATTGCTTTCTGACAAGCTTTGAGATATTGATCTTCTCTTCATCATACTAAGATGGATTCTTCTTTTCTCTCTAGTTTTTGTGTTGCTGCCATAACTTTCTTCACGCTTTTGGGTACAATATATTTCATGTTTTATAGAAAAGTCAAATCCCATCAAGAAAACAAAACAATAGCTTCTTCTCCTTCTTCTTTATCTCTTTCATCTACTCCATCTTCTTTGTCTCGAAATCGGAAACACGATGTCTTCCCCAGCTTCCACGGGGCAGATGTTCGCAAAAACTTTCTTGCTCACATCCTAAAAGAGTTCAAAGGAAAGGGAATCGTTCCATTCATTGATAATGATATCGAGAGGAGCAAGTCTATCGGTCCTGAGCTCATAGAAGCTATAAAAGGATCGAAGATCGCGATCGTCTTGCTCTCGAGGAACTACGCTTCTTCGTCTTGGTGCTTAAACGAGTTGGTGGAGATCATGAATTGTAGAGAAGAGTTGGGTCAAACAGTGATGACCATTTTCTATGACGTTGATCCAACAGACGTAAAGAAGCAGACAGGAGATTTTGGGAAGGTCTTCAAGAAAACGTGTAAAGGTAAAACCAAAGAGGACATTAAGAGATGGCAAAACGTTTTGGAGGCTGTGGCAACAATCGCTGGGGAGCATTCCTGTAACTGGTTAGCTTTCTTGATTTATACTTGCCCTGGCTAATATTTTATTAACACATAAAGCTATATTTATTGGTAGTTTTTAAAGAATTTCAAGACAACCAATACATAATTTTTGGATGTATAAGTGGAATTTTTTATGAATATTAATTGATGTATAAATTGGTCACTTGATTTGTTAGGGATAATGAAGCAGCCATGACTGAAAAAATCGCCACTGATGTTTCAAACATGTTGAATAGATACTCACCGTCAAGAGATTTTGACGGTTTCATTGGGATGGGGGCTCATATGAACGAAATGGAATCGTTGTTATGCCTAGACTCTGATGAAGTAAGGATGATTGGGATTTGGGGTCCGTCTGGGATAGGGAAGACTACCATTGCCAGAGTCTTATATAGTCAATTTTCTGAAAATTTTGAATTGAGTATCTTCATGGAGAATATCAAGGAATTGATGTATACAAGACCAGTGTGTTCTGATGAGTATAGTGCAAAGATTCAGTTACAGCAACAGTTTTTGTCCCAAATAATCAACCACAAGGATATGGAGCTTCCTCATTTAGGAGTTGCACAAGATAGGTTGAACGACAAGAGGGTGCTTATTGTTCTTGATAGCATTGATCAATCAATACAACTAGATGCTATCGCAAAAGAAACTCGGTGGTTCGGTCATGGAAGTCGGATTATCATCACAACACAAGACCAACGGCTTTTGAAGGCACATGGCATCAACCATATTTACAAGGTGGAGTTTCCATCAGCATATGAAGCTTATCAGATCTTTTGTATGTATGCTTTTGGCCAAAACTTCCCTAAAGATGGTTTTGAGGAGCTTGCGTGGCAAGTTACAAAACTTTTAGGTAATCTACCTTTGGGACTAAGAGTTATGGGATCCCACTTCCGAGGAATGTCTAGGCATGAGTGGGTAAATGCATTACCAAGGTTAAAGATTCGCCTTGATGCTAGTATTCAAAGCATTTTAAAGTTCAGTTACGATGCCTTATGTGATGAAGATAAAGATTTATTCCTTCATATAGCCTGCCTTTTCAACAATGACGGAATGGTGAAAGATTATCTTGCTTTAAGTTTCTTAGATGTGAGGCAAGGGCTTCACCTCTTAGCTGAGAAATCTCTCATAGCATTAGAGATTTTTTCTGCTGACTATACACATATAAAGATGCACAATCTATTAGTGCAATTAGGTAGAGACATTGTCCGTCATAAGCCTGGGCACCAATCCATTTGTGCGCCTGGGAAGCGTCAATTTTTGGTTGATGCTAGAGATATTTGTGAAGTACTCACTGATAACACGGTTAGTTCAATTATTATTCTCTTGTTTCCTTGTTCTCTACAAATTAAATTCATTCAATAGCTAATTATCTCTCGTTTTCTATCTTCTTTGGTCTTTTTACAGGGTAGTAGAAATGTTATAGGTATACTTTTCGAGGTATATACCCTATCAGGCGAATTAAATATCAGTGAGAGAGCTTTTGAAGGAATGTCTAACCTCAAGTTCTTAAGATTCCATGGCCCATATGACGGCCAAAGCGATAAATTGTACTTACCGCAAGGGTTGAATAATCTACCTCGGAAACTTAGAATACTAGAATGGAGCCATTTTCCAATGAAATGTTTGCCTTCCAATTTTTGTACGAAGTATCTAGTCCAGCTATGTATGGGGTACAGCAAACTTCAGAACTTGTGGCAAGGAAATCAGGTACATAATTGTTGTGTTTCTCTCCAATTTTGTAATATTGGGTTTGTTTTTCTTACATAATTTAGGTGTCAAAAAGGAGTGATCTTCCGGTATTATTTCTTAGATGGCTATCTCTTGAAATCTTTATTATGCTTGGTTAAATTGTAGTATCCCTCCATGGTTAGTATCATTGGTGGAAAGGGAGGAGAGGAACTATGTATGAACGAAGAATTTATTTTTTCAGTTAAAATAAAAAGAGACTTCGTTATTATTTGAATTTATTTTTTCAGTTAAAATAAAAAGAGACTTCGTTATCATTTCTTATGTTGTGTTTTTTTGTTTGCGCAGGTGCTTGGTAATCTCAAGAGGATGGATTTGTGGGAGTCTAAACACCTAAAAGAGTTACCTGATCTCTCAACTGCCACTAACCTTGAGAAATTGACTCTGTTTGGATGCTCAAGTTTGGCGGAGCTCCCCTCCTCTCTTGGAAACCTTCAGAAATTGCGAATGTTGAATTTACGAGGATGCTCAAAGCTAGAGGCTCTTCCTACTAATATCAACTTGGAATCTCTCGATGACCTTGATCTCGCTGATTGCTTACTGATCAAAAGTTTTCCTGAGATCTCTACAAACATTAAGGATCTCATGCTCACGTACACTGCAATAAAAGAAGTGCCTTCGACGATCAAGTCATGGTCTCATCTTCGTAACTTGGAAATGTCATACAATGACAATCTCAAGGAATTCCCACATGCTCTCGATATCATCACAAAGCTTTACTTTAACGATACAGAAATACAAGAAATTCCTCTGTGGGTTAAGAAAATCTCTCGTCTTCAGACACTTGTACTAGAGGGATGCAAGAGGCTGGTAACAATCCCACAACTTTCAGATTCCTTATCAAATGTAACAGCCATAAATTGCCAGTCACTGGAGAGACTTGATTTCTCCTTTCACAATCATCCAAAAATACTTCTCTGGTTTATTAATTGCTTCAAGCTGAATAATGAGGCGAGAGAATTCATCCAGACTAGTTGTACCTTCGCATTCTTACCCGGTAGAGAAGTTCCCGCAAACTTCACTTACCGAGCTAATGGGAGTTCCATAATGGTAAATTTGAATCAAAGGCGCCCTCTTTCTACGACCTTGAGATTTAAGGCTTGCGTCTTGTTGGATAAAAAAGTTGACAATGACAAGGAGGAGGCCGCCGCTAGGGTAACAGTTGTGTTTCTGAGCATCAGGGAGAAAGGTAAAATTGGCGTCACTGTTTCATGGAGACCTGGATATCCCTTTCACGTGCCTCCCATTTTAAGAGAGCATTTGCTCATCTTTGAGTTTGAAGCTGATGTGACGTGCAACGAGCTTTTATTTTCGTACGACATCATCGGAGAATGTGGAGCGGTGATAAAAGAATGTGGAGTACTCCAACTCTAAGTTCATTAATGTGATGGAAAAACAACACAAACCACCATGTCCTAAGACTTCAGAACTTCAGAGGAGAACAAAACACTGATTAACTGATCTCCAGCAAAACAAAAAAATCCTCCATGCCGAAGCAGCCAATGCAGGTGACAACTTTTTATCTCATCTTCGTTGCCGCCAATTTCTTCTAGTTAACAACCGGTTTAATATCTCCGATATGATTCATCTCTGATTTAGGTAAAACAATCTCATCTTTCTCAGTTTCTTGTGATCTGAACTACAGTTTTTGAATTTGGTCTCTCTTTGATTTCTGTAGAGATGATTTTGTCGACATTGAAGAAATCTTCGACGAACCACGAGCTCTCACCAGGAGTCCACCAGACCGCCTCCGGGAATGGAGAAATCCAAATCGAAGCTGAAAATATGGCTTGATAATCGATATCGCAACTGGCGCTACTCAATGGATATGGCAAAAATCATGAGACAATGAGATTATTGGACTGTGATTGGCATTTTGAAAATTGCAATTTTTTTATTGTCCCACACTATCATCTTTAATATCCACAAACTAAATTAACACTTCACTTTTCTTTCTTTTACCTGAAAAAAAGAAGAAGAGAGAAGCAGCTATCTACACAAATACTCCATTAAGCAGATAAACTTCACGGTTTAGACAAACCACAAAGCCAACTCAAAAGAACCTCAGCACCTTTCTCCCATGAACAATCTAGCATCATGTCATGAGCAACACCTTCAATACAAACTGGTTCAACCTCATAAAACCACCCGGTTTCCTTCAGCCCCTCACAATCCTGCAAAACCATAACCCATTTCGGTGTAATACAAGTACCAAGATTGAAAAACTTTCTGGTTTGGTTAGAAGACAAAGGAGGGTGCGTTCTTAGTTCGTACCACTATGAAGTCATCTTTGGCACCTAAAACAAGAACATTTGTAGAATTTTCCATTGGTTTTGGTACTGGAAGTGATGCGTTTAGCTTCCTCAGATCAAACAGCGGCATCCGTGAACTCTCTATCATAAGATCCTGGTAACTGAATCAAGAAAAGAGAGAGACAATTTGTTTAGATTAGTGAAACTTTATTTTAGATTCAAGGTGACTATTGAGCTAGATTAAAGATATACCACTTCACAAGTTGATCATCCATAGCTTGAGAGAAGAATGTTTCTCGACAAAGGGGAATAGATTTCTGAAAACCTTTAGCAGCTAAACTGAGAGTAACCTACTCAAGAACATAACCAAGAACAAACATTGCTGAACAAATAGAACATGACATCAAGATCATCCTTGCAAGATCAAAGGCAGAAAAAGATTTTTACCTTAAAAGCAGCCACAGGTTTCGAGAAGAGATAACGTAAAACTAAGCCGCTGAACAACAAAGAGAGTCCCGGAAGTTATATATAAGCTAAATTCGTTTAGCCAATAGGTTGCGAGAAGTTTACCTATTACCCGAAGGTGGAACCGAGCAAACAAGTACAACCCCTGAAAGTTCTGGAAACGCATTTTCCGTTCCTGGAATCAAAAACAACAAACTCATCGGTTATCGTATAGGCATTCTTACACCTGATCCAGAAAACGAAACTCATTTCAATGAATATACACCTTACCTAACGTCTGCTTGTTTACAATATTTGCCAAGTAATATTGAACAATGAGTCCTCCAAAAGAATGACCAATAAGCACAGGAGGTGAAGAACCAAGATTCGATTCAATGAAATCCGCAATATCACTTGCGTGCGTCTACTACACAAACACAAATCTTGCTGAATCAAGTAACTATCCAATAAAGAAAATGCACATTGCAAGTTTCAAATACCTGAAGTGTTCCAGCAACTGTTCCCAAAGGTTCATCACTTTCACCCTAAAGATAACAAATCACTCAATTTCAATCCAAAGTTTGAAACTTTATGTTCTTGAAAGTCTAACTAGATATTGGGGAAATCGAAACTCAGCATAAAAATCAAAACTTTGATGATTTGAGAATTTACCTGACCTAATAAACTAACAGCATAAGAATCAAACCCAGAAGAAGAGAAGAAAGGTAACCAATGTTCAGCCCAACACCAAGCTGCGTGATAGCTTCCATGTACAAACACCAATGGTGGATTCTCTCTTTCGGATTTGCTTCTTCGTTGTTCGATTACCTCCATTTTTAGACCAGAGGGAAGCTTGTGGAAGAGACGGTTTTGCCCCTTTTTCAGTTCGTATGGAGTTTTCGTTCTTGGGGGATTGGTGAGAGCTGCCATGGGCTTAATCGTCAGCGAGGATAGGCATGGGAATGAAGTAAGAGAAGAAGACGCCATTGGCGTGAAGGTCGAGCTGTTCCGAAGAGGAGAGCTCTCAAGAACTATCAGAAGTTTTACTGTATTCTTGAATTCCATATTGATTCGAACCAACCGAATTATTTAGAATCTATATCATTTTTCAAATTATTTTGAAAACTCTCTAAAATTCCTTAATAAATTCTTGAAAAATTCGAAAGTCCAAAAGATATGTTTTTCATAATTCTTACTCCAAACTACTTAATTTTATAAAAAATAATTAAAAATAACTAAAAAATTCGTATGAAACTGAATTTTAATATTTAATTTAAGAGAGTTTTCAGTTTTTTTTTTTGGAAATTTTCAAGAATTTATTATTATTTGAAAATAAATTTATAATTTCAATATTAATATTTTGATTGATAAATTAGAAAAGTTAACAGAAATTAACAGAATATCAAGTAAAACTATTTTTAAATATTCTAAATTAAAATATTTAAAATTGTATCGTAGTATATAAAATTATATATTTTTAAAAAAATATATGAAATTGAATATAATAACTCAAATTCTGACCCGTTATTCAGGCGGAATTTGTTTTGAATTTATTTTTGTTTAAAAGAAATATATTATCCAAGTCTAAATTTTTGACTCGTTAATTTTTTTTTTACATAAATTGAATAATTTATATTCGTTTTAAAAAATTCAAATTATGGCATATGCGGAAAAAAATCTATTTTTTATTATTATATGGATGATATGATGATTTATTTGTTTCACAATAATAGAATCATATAAAGATGAGAGGTGAAATATAATGATTAATAACAAATTAATAAGGTAAGTTAGATATCAAATCTTATATATTCATTTTGATTGGTCATTTAAAAATAATAATAATTATGTGTTTTTCGTTTTTATAATTAAATTAAATTAATTAAATTATATAAATTGACTTGTTTATCCTTAATAAGATGAATTAATTTACTCTTTGAAATTTTATCTCTAATGGCATTTTTAGGTAATTTTTTACAAAAGGAAAGGTTAGTTAAGGGTATCTTATAAAGAAGTGTACTCCCCAAATAATAGTATAGGATTAAACAAAACTTTGGAAGGTAATAGATATGAGCTTAGAAATTCGCTATATAGTAACCTAAATATTGAATTTTAAATATTATGGATCCAAATTAACTAAAATATATATTTTGAGACATTAAGCTTCGAACAAAATCATAATATATATATTTGGTTCTCGGTAAGCAATGTAAGCTTGTTAGATTTCTTCAAGGAATCTAGCCGCGCTCATCGGTCAAAAATGCAGTCTAGGCATGTTACCTACAATGTAGTTGGTGGCACCAAATCAGTTCCTTACATGAACCGGACGAATAATATTTCGCACGGTTCCATTAACAATGTTCAACCGAAACACGGGAAGATGATGAGTGTAAGGAAGTTGATGATGTACAACCTCATGGATATGCGGAATCTCAGCTGCACTCATGAGGTCAACGTATTCCACATGTCTCTCCATTTTGTTCCCACCTACATTGCCTTTGTGGATCGACCTTTGGGGGGGATGAGACAGCGATGCTCTTTTTCAAATGTTTATCAAGTTGAGAATAAGTCCCGGAGAAATTGCAATCATCGATAGGACAAGATCTCGGTTTAGCATTCATGAATCTACTTGCAGTACTTGTCCCTTTTGTTGTCTCAAAGACTTCTCCTCTGCATAGAGGGCAGTTTAAGGTCTTGTTACTTGAGCGTTTTTTCTTGTTTTTTTTTTGCGGAACTGCTTGAAACAGTTGGAGTGACGAGCACTTGTGTCGCACATATAAGGACGACATCCATTAAGGGAGGAAGAACATCTAAAAAAAACAACATTATGACGCGGTTCCATGCAAATCACACACCGCACATCCTCCCATTCTGATTGGATAAATGACTCATGTGCTTTGTATTTCTTTGTCCTTGAAGAGCGAAGTGGGTATGGCGATACTCTAGTCCTATTGCTTGACTCAGGGATCATCTGATTTTCCTTCGACATTTATCCTGCTTAAAGATTTCAACATTGATCAAAAACAATCTTTAATCAAGTTAATAAATTTCATACACAAAATGTAACATAGTTAGATGACAGATGATCAATGGTTAGTCGATATAAGTGAACGATCGATTCACTAAACTCCAAAAATTGTGAGTATTCGATCGTCTCACCAACGAGATCATTGGAGTTAGCATTCAGCACTAACTCACGGCATTCATTGTAACAAAAAAAAAAACAAAAAAAAAGGTTCCAATAAAGTTTTATGTTTCAGCTAAAACAAAACTTAAAATTCGATTCAGACTAAAAGTTAAGACCGAATAAGTATCACTTCAGTCATAGTAATCAACAAATACAAAAGCGCTAAACAACACAAACAAATGTACATCACTAGCTTCATCGTAAACCTTAAAAAAACTAGTTGGAGATTTCTCTAAAAGTGGGTGATCGAAACAAATGTACATCACAAGATTACCTGGTTAGTTTCTGTGTGGTATTCTTCTTGTTGTAAATTTTTTTTTACGAAACTTAATTACAAAAGGGTCAAATATTTCAAACAAAATTATCAACCAAATACCATTAATTAAGCCTTGCAAATAATTTTTTATAAAATTTATAGGGGTCACTTGACCCCCTTCATATAGCTTTGGCCTTGTGTACAATAGCACGTATTGGTCACCCCTAACAAGAATTGCCCAGGAATTTCAATAGATCAGTGAAATCTATATGAAATTAATTTGAAAAAAATATTCAACCAACAATTGGAGAAAAGTATATACATCCTTGGTTGTATAGTTCTTTATTTCTAAAGGAGAATGAAAACAATAGAGTTTGGTTTAAGCAGTCGATGGAATTTTGATGTGAATGCATGATTGTGTGATTTCTAAGGCTTTTTATAAGCTATTATTGTGTTTGTCTCTCTCATTTTACCAAAATATTTTTTTCCTTTGTATTCCACATTTTTTACTTTTCCTAGTAAAGAAATGTGAATTTTAATTAATTTTTTTGAAGTACAAAGAGTGAAATTCAATAATAAAACACAATTTAATGAGTGACAATTAAAATTGAAAAAGTTAAAAGCAGATAGTCTAAAATTATAAGAAGACAGTT